GACTCAGGGAGTTGTGGATATGGTGAAAATGAATACAGCTTGGCATTCCTGTCCTGCTTTAAGGCCCCACAGGTTGTAATCTCTGAATATAATAGCTTGTAAACAGGTGTGGCCACTCAAAAAACAAACAAACCTTTTTCCTGCTTAACTTTAATTTGTGTCATCTCATACTTTGATCCGCAGATGCTTTGATTCGTCTTCATGTCATACCACTAATACACAGACTCCAGTCTTAAATTGCTGGGTGTGATGGGCTACATCTTACATCCAAACTATCTGTGTCCCCAAGTGTGGCTGTAGAATTACTGGTTAGTCAGTCAGTGATGTTGCTCCAATCCAAAGGATGAATGTTTAAACAGGCTTTCTTCCTTTGACAGTTTGTGATCTGGTAGTTGTGTCATTTTTCTGGATGGATGAGTAACAGCGAGTTCCACTGGGCTAGTCCAGGCAAGCACGCAGCTGCGTGGGATATGAGCAGTTTTTCATCCAAATGCTAAGAGCGAGAGGAAAAGGGTAACACCTCCTCACGGTGCTATTAATGACGATTTTCATAGGGCTTCAAAAGCACTACACTGAAACGCCTACATGTGAGGAAGAAAAAAGCTGTTTAGAAACAAAAGAACATGAATATAAACTATGTAGTTTGACACTTGCTGCTGTGGAGAACTAAAAAGCCTGGTGGGGCGGAAGATATGTGTTCTCAGTTAATCAGCATTAGTCACAACATTGTTCTGTGTGTCAAAGGCAGTCTGTACACATGCGATTAGCTGCAAGAGGTTTTTCTTTTGATGAGTTGCTGTAGCAGTTTGTTTGACTTTCAGTGTTAGCATGCCCTTGGAGAGTTTTTATTGTATTTATTTATTTTTCAGTATATATTTTTTATTTTTAACCGCATATCGCTGATTATCTTGACTGTTCTTTGACCACCACACAACTAATGGTCAAAGCTATATTAGGTCTTTGCGTACATGGAGTGGACTGGGACCTGTAGTCTCTGGTCAACAGTTTCAAATTACTGTAATCTGAATTAAGGACATAACAATCACATGTAAGACAGAAGTCGATATTGTGTCACATTTTGCCTGTTGGCATCACTAAAGACTGCGTTACCAAACTCTGTCTGATCACTAAAGTTTTAAGAGGAATATTAATTTTCTCTTGGCATCTGATAATTTTGTCCTTACAGGCTACAGCTACTTAATGTCTGTGGACATTTTATTCATTTTATGCCTTAGTCAAACATACACCACCTTCAACACAGCACTCTGCTGCTGCTGCTGCTGCTGCTATCCAAGTGATGACAGATCTGTTGTGTGCTTTTCGTTGTTATCTAAACTAACTCTCGATCTGACCATGCTCTCATTACTTTGCAGCTCACTGGGAATATAGCTAGCTATCAGCTAAGGAGAAACAAAAAATAAGACTTTGATGATTGTCAGCTTTAATGTTGCCCTCCACCAACATTCAGTCTTCTCTCATATGTCTGTGGAGTGATACAGCTGTTTCCAGTAAACTGTCTTCATTGTGACAAAGCACCAGGATATCAGAATGTTATATACAGAGTGGGTGTGTAAATCCTGCGTGCATACGTATGCTTTCCAGATGTGTATAAATTCTAAATCACATCTTCCAGTAAACCCCAGTGTAAAACTTGTATCTGTCAAGGGGAACTGATTCAGAGTCAGCAGAAAACAAACTGCCAGTAGGTGGGAGGTCAAAGCTTAATGGCATTTAGTGAAATCCATTCCAAATTAAAAATATTTGATTGATCCGTTAAAAAAGATAATGTGTTATATGTGTTGACTCAGCTAATCGTGTGGTTAACATCTGGATTTGGTCTGGTAAAATAAATGCCAGTGAAACACAGTAAAAACTTTGATCTAATACTTTTTTGTATGACTATCAAGTCAATGTTATTTATGTAGCTAATTTTAATACAACCGACGTTGACCCAGAGTGCTTTACAGGCACACTCATCTGCAATCCA